TGCCCAGTGAAGCGGTTGAAGCTACGTCACTGAATGTTTTTAAAGCAAGGCTCGATAAATTTTTGAACAGTAAATGAATTAAGGGTTATGGTGAGTGGGCAGGTAAGTGGAGCTGAGTCTCAAAAAGATCAGCTATGATCTTATTAAATGGCGGGGCAGGCTCGAGGGGCCAGATGGCCTACTCCTGCTCCTAGTTCTTATGTCCTTACAGTTGTGATGGGTGGTTGGCGGTTGGGGGGGCGGGGGTGGTGGGGGGTGGGGGAGAGGTGAGCGGGGCCTTTTGGTACATTGGGTGTCGTCCCTGCCTCCAAACCAGAAGCACCAAGTTCAAGTTGAACCTCAGGCAAAGGGAGATGAATTTGATGAGTATCAACTTGCAAATGCTCCTGCCACATGCCAGTTGCAGCTGGAAAGATGAGGAGAGCTTCCTGGTCAGCCTTGTGAAGGAAGGAAAGTTATAGCTTCTGTCGTCACTCGCCATAGCTCCAGAGTGTAACACACATGCAAGAATACAATTTGCCACAGCAACTTGGGGAATCTTATACGGATTTACGATGTAGATAATGATGAGATTTGTAACAGATTGGACCTGTCTTGGTTCAGAGAGCATCTCGCACCATCGTTTGATTTTGCCAGGCAGAGAGAGAAATTTCTCCTGGGCAGTACTGAGTTACTCAATGGGAAACCAACTTGTTTCATTAATATTCAGTTTCCTATCATACCTAACAAGCTGGAGGTCGAGAAATCTTGAATGGAAATCAGAGTGGTTACTTTGCAATTTCAGCTTGCTGCTTGCTCCATGATGTGAAGAACTAAACAGCATCTTGGAATGACCCATTGGCACCAGCTGCTGACACCCCACATCCATGGATATTGGCATCCAACATTTGCAAAGTCCTCATGATCATCATGGCACCTTTCCATTATAGTTGCAGGAAACATAGACTCACATTGCAGAGCACACTTGCAGGGTATTGGAAGGCTGCTGCAAGGACACTTTGCCCATTGACAGGCCCCCAGCTCACAGATTGGACCAAATTACATTTCACAAATGCCCACTTTCTCTGTTAGCACTCACTCACTTAGCACCTACTTGCATGCTCACAGCATCCATGTGTTGCTTTACCTGGCCTGCCAAGCTGGTTAGCAACTTGGCTATTCAGCCAGAGGCAAAGTCTATTGACACTGTCCTATCGATGAGCTCCTTAGCACAGACATACAGGCAGCCACTTGTCATGCTTTATCAGAAGAGATCCACGCGCAGTGGTGTACCACAAGCAGGGCCCGGGACAGGATGATAAATTATGGCCAATAACCAGGACTGTAGAAGGCCTCTGTATTTGGTTTGAGTGTAGGGCAACTATGTACAAGCTGTGGGCGGGCTGAGGCCAGAGACCCTTCCATGAGCAGCACTGCAGCCTTTGATTTCTGTCTCTAGCCCTGCCCACAAGGATTAGTGCTTGGCCCCCAGCTCTTCACAACCTTTGTAAGTGGTTTGGATGTGGGACCAATTGTAATATTTCCAATTTGCAGATGATACAACACTTGGTGATAATAAGAGTTATGGAGAGGATGCGATTGGACTTCAAGGGTAAATTAGGCAGGTTGAGTGACTGTGCATGACCTTTGAAGGTGGAATATAATGTGGAAAATGTGGAGTTATCCACTTTGGTATGAAAAAACAAGAATGTAGGGTATTTCTTCAATGGTGAGAGATTGAAAAGTGCTGATGTCGAAAAGACACCTTGGTATCGGTTCTGGGTCCTGTTTCCTTTGTCATGTATATAAATGATTTGGATGAGGTTATAGAAGACATAGATAGTAAGTTTGTGGATGACACAAAAATTGGTGGCATTGTAGACAGTGAAGAAGATTTTCTAAGATTACAAAGAGATCTTGAGGAAATGGGTCTTTGACTGAAACATGGCAGATGGAGTTCAATCTGAAGTATTGCATTTGGTATAGCAACAAGCGTAGGGCTTATACAATTAATGGTAGGGCCTTGGGTAGTTTTGTAGAATAGAGGGACCTAGAGGTGCAGGTACATAATTCTTTAAAGTTTGTGTCACATATATGTAGGATGGTTGAAAAGACATTAGCATGCTTGTCTTCATTGTTCAGTCCTTTGAGTATAGGAGTTGGGACATTATGTTGAGGTTGTATAGTACATTGGCAAGGCTGCTCCTGGAGTACGGTGTCCAGTTCTGGTCACCCAGTTATAGGAAGGATATTATTAAGCTGAAGAGGGTTCAGAAGAGATCTATGAGGATGTTGCTGGGTATGGAAAGTTTGAGTTATAAGGAAAGGCTGGATAGGCTGGGACTTTTTTACCCTGGAGTGTAGGAGGTTGAGAGGTGACCTGATAGAAAGTTATAAAATAATGAGAGGTATAGGTAGGGTTGATGCAGTCGTCTTTTCCCTAAGATGGGGAATTTCAAGATTAGAGGGCACATTTTTAAGCTGAGAGGAGAGAGATTTTAAAAAGACATGAGGCAATTTTTTTTTACACAGAAGTTGGTTCACATGTGGGATGAACTTCCTGAGGAAGTGGTGGATGCAGGTTCAATTACAATGTTTAAAAGACATTATGATGGATATATGAATGGGAAAGGTTTGGAGGGATATGGGCCAGGAGCAGGCAAGTGAGACTAGTTTAGTTTGGGATTATGTTTGGCATGGACTGGTTGGACCGAAGTGCCTGTTTCCATGCTGTATGACTATGACTCTAAGTCACTGATCGCTAGTATGTAGGTGCAGCAAGCAATTCAAAACGTGAACAATATGTATGCTTTAATTGCAAGAGGATTCAATTGCAGGAACAAACAAACCATGACTTGGTTGTATAGAACACTGTTCAGACTTTACACGGTATTATTTGCAGTCCTAGTCTCCTTGCCTAAGGAAGGTTATATTTGCCATTGAGGTTCATCAGATTGATTCCTGTGATGGTGGGCTGTCCTATAAGGAAATATTAAGGAGATTCTCCTTTATCCTCTAGGGTTTACAAGAATGAAAGACGTTTTTGCTGTATAATTCTTAAAATGGATAGACAGAGAAGATGCAGAAAGGATATTTTCTCTGATTGTGGGGTCTAGAACCAGGGTACTTTGTCACAGAATAAAGGGCAAGCCGTTTAGGACTGAGGTGAAAAAGAATGTACTCCAAGGGTAGTGAATCTTTGGAATTCTCAATCCCAGAGGTCTGTGTCAGTTTAGCCATTAAGTAAGTTCAAGACGAAGATGGATAGATTTTCTAGTTTCTAGTGACACCAAGGGTCATAGGAATAGCATGGCACTACGGCATGAGTTAAATGTTCAGTGGTGATCTGGAATGGTGGAGCATGCTCAAGGAGCTGAATGGCTTACGGCTGCTCTTATTGTTCTAGGAACATGCTAGTCAAATCAAAACTGACCGGTGCCAAAAATATACAGTGCGGCAAATGTCATAAACATCCGAAGATATTCTAGATGGAGCGCAGATGTAGGTCTAGCTTGTCTTGCGTGAGTCAGCACGTTAAGTAATTACTCAAAGTACCACACATATTTGCTGGACATAAATCTAGAAATTATGCTATGATGTGTTGTTAAATTCATGCTTAATTTTGAAACTTTACTGAAGGAGATGTATTGAAAAACTGCATACTGAATGGTGGTTGCCATTCAAGTAAATATACACAAAAGCTACATGTACCAGTATAACATGTGAATTGATTCAAAAAACTAAAAGTAATTCATTGTCAAAATGACAGCCAATGCTGCCAAATCTTGGGCAATCAACATTTTCTTTATCGGCCAACTGTGATCTTTGAGGAAATGTGTTAGAAAATTTGTTCAAATGGTAGTACTGAGTGGGCTGTTATGGGGTTAGGATCAATACTATTTCTGAATAAGGTCATTATCGTGGATTCAGAAACTCGATGCAGATTTCTTAGATGACAGCAATGCATAAGGTCATTTAAGGGACTCTTAGATAAGCACTTAAAAATAAGGAATGGAGAGATATGGACCAAGGGCAGGCAGAAGAGATTAGTTTAATTTGGTGTCATGTTTGGCACAGATTTGTGGGCTGAAGGGCCCATTCCTGTGCTGTACAGTTCTATGTTCTGTGCTCTAAGTAGGGGGCAAGCAAATTGGAAGAAGTAGATGCGATGGAATTGTGATGCACACAATTTCATTAAGGAAGTGAATATATGTGACAGAACAGATTCAGTGCCGAATGTATCCAATCAACGGGGAGCAGCAGTAATCAACACCAAAATAGTATTGAACCACACCAGCTAAAACAAGAAGATCCAACTCAGAACTGAGAGTACTCAGTATAAAAGGCCCCAGTTAGACTGCAACTCAAATACCTTTTCTAGTCTAGTTACAAAGAAACAAGAAAACTAAAATAATCCAATGAAGAGCCACAAGATTAAACCTTGTGTCAAAGTCTGATGAGGTATTGAACAAGGCAGGAAAATCTTTGGTGTTTCAATGTCTTTGACATAATCTTTCATGTGTATTTAAGACAGCAAAACCTGCATAAAAGATAAAGCCAGAATGTTACCTCAAATTAAATAGTGGGAATTGAACAAGGCAGGTTCAAACTGGTTTTGGGACTGTTGACTTGAAGTTCAATTTCCCACAAAGGGTAATTATACTTAAAATATACTCCCAGACATAGAAGTAAGGGAATAATTAACAAAAACAATTGAATAGAGATGTTGGAATATTTTAGTTGTTGAAGTAAGCTAGTAATAGTCTTTCTCAATTGGAAAAATGTTGTCACCTTATGAAATAGCAATTTCTAGATATGATCAACTCATCTGATAGTATAGTAATAGTCAAAATTTCAATTATTTTTGATTATTTGAAAACAGATGATTGTAATATGAGAAATAAACATTCGGTATAAATCACAGTTCAAGCTAATCGTTTTCACTTCTGGCAAGCTCTTTCAAATTGAGATGCCTATAATATATATTGCACACAGTTCACACAAACTTTTTTTTATTACAGGTGAGATTTGTGCTTTTAAAATCCACGGGCAGGATGTGCCTTTTGAAGCTGTGGTGTTAAACAGAACATCTGGGGAAGGTCTGATACGTGCAAAGAGTCAAATTGATTGTGAACTTCAGAAAGAGTACACATTCATCATTCAGGCATATGACTGTGGAGCCAGACCTAGTGGAACTTACTGGAAAAAATCACACAAGTGGGTAACCTGCCCCTAACAAAGTCAGAATCAGTTTGTTACTTTTCTGACATATTGGTGAGAAGATTGATTGTTTATAAGTATAGGAAATGGACTGGGTGTAGCCTTGCCAGATTTTAAGCTGACCAATTCTATTGATTTCTTGTATGGTGCATGATTTTGATTTCAAAAGACGTCCTGGAAACTTAATGGTGAAAGCAACTTTGATATAATTATGCTAAATGAGTGATGACAAATGAGCAGCACACTTCACACCCATGGATATAGATAATGTCAAATAATAGACACCACAGTTCAAGACGTGTATAAAGTTGTAAAATAATGTACCTATACACACAGTTCTGATGCAGCAGATGTTGTACAGTTGTTAAAGGTGTGGGCTTCAGAGTATTGAGTAATATATAGTCATTTAGAATCTAATTTTACAATTTTTATAGGATTACACAGGATAAATGGCACAGAAACACACCATTTGGCCCATGCAGTCATTGCCATTGTTTGCTGCCCACTGAAAGAAATTCCCATCTAAATATTGATGATCTCTACCTTTTGCTTCAATTGTGTATCTAGTTTGTGGTTCTTACCACTCTTTAGGTGACAATGTAACTTTTGAATTTCCTATTGGATTTCTTGGTGACTATCTTCTAATGATGAGCTCTCGTTATACTCTTCTCCACCAAAAGAAACATTCTTTTTTGTATGCTTGCCACCAAAACCTTTTAGAATTTTAAAGACCTTTCAAGTCACCCCAAACCACATGTTTTCAAGAGGGAAGAGATCCAGCCTGTAATTTGTCTCCCGCAAAGTATACCCACACATAGAATTGCAAAATTGTTATGGTGCATAAGGAGGCAATTCAGCTCATTCTGCATGCACTGGCTCCTGAAATGAGAATCAGTACCTTGTGCCAACCTCTTGCTTTTTCACCATGTTCTTGCACATTATTTTTAATCAAATAATCTTTCAAAGGCTCTCTTCGCTGCCTAAATTGAACCAGCCTCCACCACACTCCCAGGCACTGCATTCCATACCCCAATTACTCATCGAGTGACAAACTTTTCCCTCACTTTACCCTTGCTTCTTTTGGAAATCACTTTATTTCTACACCCTCTCATTCTTGTTCTTTTTATGAGCTGGAACAATTTCTCCCTGTTCACTCTATATAGCCCACTCGTGATTTTGAAATTCTGATTCATTTATGCTTTCAGTCTTGTAAATCTTCTGTGCACCTTTTTCAGTGTCACATCCTTCTTATAGCATAGAGACGTGACCCATCCACAGCAGTCTCAATAAATGTATCATTAATAGCCAGGAAGGCCGAGTGAAAAAGGACTGCCCATGTAATAAACACTCACTTTGTAATAAAAATCAGACAAAAAATTCTAATTAAAATAGTGATATCAATGTTTTGGAGAAACTATTGAAGCCAATACTGTGTACAAATTAATCTAAATTGCACATTTGAAGCAGAAGTGCCACGAGCTTCATGATGAGATCTCCACTGATATTCAGCAGCCTGTCTCACGACAGATGCTAGCTTACCTGCTGACTGTTTCTGGTGTTTTCCTGTTTTTCCCATGCCTCATTATATCAAGTTCAGTGTAGCAGCTGTCAGGATCTACTGAACATGAAAGGATATTAAAATAAATAATTCTTTGTAATTTTTTGATTCGTATAAAAAAATTACAGGAGTCCTAATTGTGCTTGTCATCACTGGTTACCACTAAATTATTTGCTGATCTGGAATAAGAATTCAAAATTTCTCTTAATCTTCATTTGCCAAGACTCTCCATTTTATTTCAAATGTCTGCTGACTTAACTGACATTAGAGCAGTTTTTCCGCCGACTCTGCCTCCGCGCTTACTTCTTCAACCGTGAGCCTAACCCTCCCTCTACTGACCCCTTCTCCTGCCTCCAACACACCCCCTCCTCCTGGACACCACCCCAAGGCCTCCTACCCTCCCTCGACCTCTTCATCTCCAACTGCCGTCGAGACATCAATCGCCTCAACCTCTCCACCCCTCTCACCCACTCCAACCTCTCCCCCACAGAACGTGCAGCCCTCCGCTCCCTCCACTCCAATCCCAACCTCACCATAAAACCTGCGGACAAGGGAGGTGCAGTTGTAGTATGGCGCACGGGCCTCTACATTGCCGAGGCCAGATGCCAACTCTCCGACACCTCCTCCTACCGCCCACTTGATCATGACCCCACCCCCGAGCACCAAACCATCATCTCTCAAACCATCCACAACTTCATCACCACAGGTGACCTCCCACCCACAGCCTCCAACCTCATCGTTCCCCAACCCCGCACCGCCCGCTTCTATCTCCTTCCCAAAATCCACAAACCTGACTGCCCTGGTCGACCCATTGTCTCCGCCTGCTCCTGCCCCACCCAACTTATCTCCACCTATCTCGACTCCATTTTCTTCCCCTTGGTCCAGGAACTCCCTACCTATGTCCGTGACACCACCCACGCCCTCCACCTCCTCCAGAACTTCCCATTCCCCGGTTCCCAACACCTCATCTTTACCATGGACATCCAGTCACTATACATCTGCATTCCCCATATAGATGGCCTAAAGGCCCTCCGCTTCTTCCTGTCCCGCAGGCCCGACCAGTCCCCCTCCACTGACACCCTCATCCGCTTAGCCGAACTTGTCCTCACCCTCAACAACTTCTCTTTCAATTCCTTCCACTTTCTACAGACAAAGGGGGTGGCCATGGGTACCCACATGGGCCCAAGCTATGCCTGCCTCTTTGTAGGTTACGTGGAACAATCCCTCTTCCGTACCTACACTGGCCCTAAACCCCACCTCTTCCTCCGTTACATTGATGACTGTATTGGTGCCGCCTCATGCTCCCTCGAGGAGCTCGAACAGTTCATCCACTTCACCAACACCTTCCACCCCAACCTTAAGTTCACCTGGACCATCTCTAACACCTCTGTCACCTTCCTGGACCTCTCTGTCTCCATCTTGGGCAACCACCGAGATACCGATATCCATTTCAAGCCCACCGACTCCCACAGCTACCTAGAATACACCTCCTCCCACCCACCTTCCTGCAAAAATGCCATCCGCTATTCCCAATTCCTTCACCTCCGCCGCATCTGCTCCCAGGATGAGGCATTCCACTCCCGTACATCTCAGTTGTCCTCGTTTTTCAAGGACCGCAACTTCCCCCCCTCAGTGGTCGAGAACGCCCTCGACCATGTCTCCCGCATTTTCCGCAACTCATCCCTCACACCCCGTCCCCGCAATAACAACCAAAAAAGAATCCCCCTCGTCCTCACGTACCACCCCACCAACCTCCGGATCCAACGCATCATCCTCCGACACTTCCGCCATCTGCAATCCGACCCCACCACCAAAGACATTTTTCCCTCCCCACCCTTATCTGCTTTCCGGAGGGACCACTCTCTCCGTGACTCCCTTGTCCACTCCACACTCCCCTCCAGCCGCACCTCACCCGACACTTTTCCCTGCAACCGCAGAAAGTGCTACACCTGCCCCCATACCTCCCCCTCACCCCCATCCCAGGCCTCAAGAAGACTTTCCACATCAAGCAGATGTTCACCTGCACACCTGCTAATGTGGTATACTGCATCCGCTGTACCCGTTGTGGCCTCCTCTACATCGGGGAAACCAAGCGGAGGCTTGGGGATCACTTTGCAGAACACCTACGCTCGGTTCACAATAAACAACTGCACCTCCCAGTCACGAACCATTTCAACTCCCCCTCCCATTCCTCAGACGACATGTCCATCCTGGGCCTCCTGCGGTGCCACAATGATGCCACCCGAAGGTTGCAGGAACAGCAACTCATATTCCGCTTGGGAACCCTGCAGCCCAACGGTATCAATGTGGACTTCACAAGCTTCAAAATCTCCCCTCCCCCTACCGCATCCCAAAACCAGCCCAGCTCGTCCCCGCCTCCCTAACCTGTTCTTCCTCCCACCTATCCCTTCCTCCCACCTCAAGCTGCACCCCCATTTCCTACCTACTAACCTCATCCCGCCCCCTTGACCTGTCCGTCCTCCCTGGACTGACCTATCCCCACCCTAACTCCCCACCTACACTCACCTTTACTGGCTCCATCCCCGCCTCTTTGACCTGTCTGTTTCCTCTCCACCTATCTTCTCCTCTATCCATCTTCTATCCGCCTCCCCCTCTGTCCCTAGTTATTTCAGAACCCCCTTCCCCTCCCCCATTTCTGATGAAGGGCCTAGGCCCAAAACGTCAGCTTTCCTGCTCCTATGATGATGCTTCGCCTGCTGTGTTCATCCAGCTCTACACCTTGTTATCTTAGAATACTTTAACACAGGTTGTCTGTACAGCATTGGCAAAGAGAGATCAGTGTTCTTCAGGAAAAATGTAACCTCAACTTGCTTTCGCCATTTAGGATTTTTCTTTAAGAACCTAATCATCAATAGAATCTCTGAGTAAGGGAGATGCATTTGTCTAAATTCCAATTAAGTGTAAATAGTTCTTGCCTATTGCATTATCTGTATTTTTAAGTTGCTTTATTATATGCAACTTTATTTCATTTCTTCGCAACATCTTGGGTAATTGTGTGGAGCCAAACCTTTCATAGAAAATAAGAATTCTTTCTGAAGCATTACCAATGACATTTTGATTTATGCGTATAAATTTCTGTCCATTTCTTGTTGTATAAAATAAGATGTAAACCGGTATAAGACATTAGTAAATGGAAAGCTAAAAGTGTTGTGATCTGTTTGCAGGGCAGTAGTGCACATTCAAGTGAATGACGTCAATGAATACACACCAACATTTAAAGAGACAATATACAAAGGTGTGATCACAGAAGGGAAACTGTATGACAACATATTGCAGGTGGAAGCTGTGGATGAGGATTGCTCTCCACAATATAGCCAGATTTGCAATTATGAAATTGTCACACCTGATGTGCCATATGCTATTGACAGGAATGGTAAGTTCCAACAAATTAAATATACTGTATTTCTTTGTTATAAGTGGAGCAACTGTCCCCTTGTTTCACAAGAGTTTCACCATATCGTCTTCCTCTTAAAATTTTCAATGTGTTTTGATTTCTGCCCTGCTGCCGCACATCTTGAATGAATGAATGACCAAGCGAAACTTCAAGTTAGGATGAGCAAAGGGCAAGATACGAGGAACTCAGAGTGATTCAGCAGAGTGGCAGCACTTTTCCCCCTCCCTGTACGAGAAGATGAAAAACCTGATCCTGTACCTTTCCATATGAATTTGTTGCCACACTTTCCTACCCTCCAGAATTAGCCTTTATTTACAAAAATTTCATTGGTACCTTGGTGCAATGAGATAATTCAAGCTTGAATTCCAAAGTTTTTCAAAATTCTATTTCTTAAAATTTTGAAGCTTGTAATGTGAATAAAAATTCCAATGAGGGATTCTTTAAACTTTCAAAACTCAGTGTGTCTTGATTAAGAAGATAATCATGAGGGGTATAGACAGGTGTAATTGTAGGGGGATTTCAAGACTAGGGGGTACATTTTTAAGGTGAGAGGAGAGAGATTTAAAAAAGACATGAGGAGCAAATATTTTACGCAGGGTGGTTCGTGTGAGAAATGAACTTCCCGAGGAAGTGGTAAATGTGGGCACAATTACAATGTTTTAAAAACATTTGGATAACTGCACGAATAGGAAAGGTTTAGAGGAATATGGGGCAGGAGCAGACAGGTGGGACCAGTTCTGTTTGGGATTACGTTCGGAATGGACTAGTTGGACTAGTGTCCGTTTTCATGCTGTATGACTGTATGCCTCGTAGAGGGAGGAGGAATTTGTCATCACATGAAATGAGATGCAAAATCAGGTGCAGATGTAGGTGATTGTACCTGGAAGAAAATAGCATGAAAAATCTGTGAGACAGGAGTAAACAAAAGAGAACATCTTCATAGTATGAGCAGGAGCACTGTGAAGACGTGGGTGTAGGAGAGGCCGATTCCACTTAATAACCATGAAATATCACCAGCAATTTCCTCATGAATTAATTTGTAACACATAGTTAAGTAATTTATCTGTAATATTGTGATGGTTTTCATTACTTTTTGCAATATTGGGTGTACGTGAACATATGTGATGTAACAAACAAAGTCAGACAGAGAGGAGATGTTTAAAATGATAATGCAGTCTGAACTAACCTGTGACCAATGATTTACTTCCTGGAACAAATTTATCAAAAGGACCCCTTCTGCTTTTAAGTATTGAGCTTCACAGACTTGTTTTTAACAACAATATTTAAGTTTGAAAATTATTACAATAACAATATATTTCCTTTGCTCATGCATTGGGTATTGCGGGGAAGGCTGATATATTTTCTCATCCTTTTCCCTTGAGGAGACATTTTTCTGTTATTGTAAAAGCAATAATTCCGGTTTTTTTTGTCAGGCAACATTAGGAATACTGAGAAGTTGAGCTATGATGAACAGCACCAATACAAGTTTATGGTTACAGCATATGATTGTGGTCAGAAAAAAGCGGCAGAAAATGTGTTAGTTCACATTGAAATTAAGCCAGTTTGTAAGCCAGGTTGGCAAGGTAAGGATGTTTAATGTATTTCTGCATTGTTAGCACTGCTTCCAAATACTGCAGAAAATCACAGTGGAATGAAAAATATTACAGATCTGATTAATGTTGTCATTATATCAAAGAGATAATGTTGACATACGCAATTTTTAGTGTGTCTAAAATATTCAACATTGTAATTGCATATTTTTCAGTTGTGAACTGACCACAGTGTATTAAGAATAAATCCAGATGTAGCCAAATCATTACCATTGAATTTTATCTTCACTTGCTTCTTTAATGCTTATTTCCCTTCAAACTCTCACTCAAAGAGGTGATTAGCAGATCACATGACTAAGCATGATAGATTCCCTCTTTGAATTGATTATATATAATCTCTTTCCTTGACACATCATAAGGAACGTGACGAGCATTATCAAACAAAATTTGACAAAACGCAATATATAATCAAATGATGAAAAGCTTGATCAAACAGGTAAACTTTAAGGAATATTGTAAAAGAGGAAAGAAGAAGAGAAAGGTGGACAAGATTTATGTAGGAAACTCCAGAGCTTAGGGCCGCGACAGCTAATGGCATGGCTTCAGTGGTGGAGCAGTTAATATGGCAGAGTTCAAGAGGCCAGAATTAGAGGAACATAGAGATTTGCTTGGGGTGGAGACAGCACTGAAAAATGAGAGTCATATAAGAGATGGGGAGGGATGTGGCCATAGAAGGATGTCGAGCAAAGTTGAGAATTTTCAAGTAAAGATGTTGTTTAACTAGGGGCCAATATAGATCATTGAACACAGGGAAGATGGTGAGTGGTACTTGTTGAGAGTTCAGACACAAATACCAGAATTTTGAATGACCTCAATTTTGTGGAAGGGCGAACTCAAGGGGCTGGCTAAGAATGGAATTGGAAGAGTCATATCTAGATGTATATGATGTTCATACATTGAGTAACAGAGAAGGGTTTCAGCAGTAAATAAGGTGAGACAGGAGCAGAGTTGGTGATGTTATAGAATGAAAATAAGCGCTCTTAGTAATAGTGTGAAATATGTTGCAGAAGCTGATCTCATGACCAAATATAAAACTAGAGTTGCACACAGTCTAGTTCAGCCTTAGGCGGTAGCCGTGACCGTGGATGGAATTGGTAGCAAGTGAACAATGTTCCTTAGGGGATCCAAAGACAATAGCTTTGATCTTCCTAATATTTAGGTTTGTTGATGTTGGAAATATGAAATTTGTCTTTTTTTATATGTAGAAAATTGTTGTTACTTTACATGTAACACAAAAAATTGAGATTCCATTGTACAACAGAGATTCTATCCATAATGGCAGATAGTGCAGCTCCATTTTATGTTGTATTTCAGCTGTTGTAGACTTCAATACTCATTTCTGCTTCAATTCAGAAAATTCAGGATCATTACTTTAAAGTCTCTTTGAGTCACTTCTTGCGGAAATACTTTGACAACCTATTTTCCAATTTACCATGTCATGTTGGTTTATGTTGGATTAACGGGGAATCAAAATAGCGTAACAATGTGAAGGAAGATTTCCTTTGTGTATTCTTCATAAAAAAATGAGTTTGACTTTCTGTTCTGTGTGGTCATAGTGAAAACCTTTTACAGAATGCATGCAATATGTCACTTCAAAGGAGATGTTTATATGTTGAATATTCAATACCAATTTTTTTCTAACAGTAGTGTAGTGGACCTTCACTCTCCATTGAACTACCAAAATTTATTTTTCTTTTTGTATGGAAAATTAAATGTAGTGACCCTTTTCTCAGTATTTCTCTTAGAAATATATTTTCATTTTTAAATCCCTGCCTGAGCTTTACATTTACCATAAACATTTGACTTTAGCTAATGAAACAATATTATTGTACAATACTTAATTGTGCTGTACTATTTGGATTAACCTTATACTGAAAAATCTAGTTTTCAAACATATGGATTATTTTTAAATGTACAGTAAAAGACCAAGTTGTTTCTATATTTTCAGGTTGGGATAAACGCAAAGAATACGAGTCTGGTTCTGGCAGTAAAGTATTGTTTCCCAACATCCATCTGGAGACCTGTGGTGAACCTGTTTCTTCTGTGCAGACCAGAATAGATCTTCAGACTAGCCACATTGGAAAGGGTTGTGATCGTGATACTTACTCTGAGAAATCTTTACAAAAATTGTGTGGTATGTGACAACTCAGCTAACACATAGAATAATGTTTCTGATGCAGTAGCATTGATATAGTGCTTTTTTTTCTGTTGTCTCATTATTGGGAGAGCAGCTTCTCCCTCATTTAAATATGTTAGACACTGATCTTCATGAAATAGCAAAGCTCCACATTGTAATAAAAGAAAACTATCCATATGTAGTATGCAGGTTCTCTGGATGTTTTAAAATTGCCAGATTCACGGACTTGCATTTCCATGTCTCTGTGATGCCTCTAATTCTCTAGAATTCAGGTCACTTACACTTGGGAGTGTAACTGACGAAGGATGTTTATCCAACAAAGGGGGCAGCGTATGTATCCTGTCAGCTAAATTCCTCTAATATGAACAAAAAAGCCTTTGGACTCTTAATACCTACAAATCCAATCCATTCTTTTTTTAATGTCTCCATTCCATCTGCTGTGATCGTTATCTTTTCAAGATGTGGTCATTAAGTTCAAGATTTGAGCGAAAATACAGATGTTCAATTCACCAAAGTGTGTTAAATTTCTTCTATGAATTGTTCAATATGTCAGTGCTGAAAATGGAATGCTTTTTTTCTCCTTTATCATCTAGTGTCAGCTTTAGTATTCCTCGTATAACACGATTAGAGGTATAAGCCAAAACTCCCTCTAATCTGCTGTGGCAATATGTTTTCACGTCATCTTTGACGGTCTACCTTGTACTGCAGCATTATGAGTTCTGCTCAGAACTCATTTCACTGATAATCCTCAAAAATTCTCTTTTTACAAATGAAAACTGATCTTGAACTGAGAGAAAGCTTTCAGTTTCAAATTCAAATTCTTCTTTTTGTAAAAAAAAATCAATATAAATATCGGAGAAGTCAGTTTGGTTTGGTTTAGTTCCGAAGCCAGGTCCAAAAGGTGAAACGAAAGACTCAACCAGACGATTTAATTTCTAATCTCAAAAGGTTTCTCCTGGCTGCCTCAGCATCTGAGTGGCCTGTGAGTGTTTCACAGTATCAGCCTGTTTCTATTTGTTTTTGTGATTCAACTTTTGAGTCCTAAATTCGTTGCTGTGTGACAATATGGGAGAAGAGGTAGAACAGAACTCCAGTGAATAGAGACCAAGCCTGTTTAACCTTTGCTAATCAGACAGTCCCTCCATATCAGAATCTTACTGGGCTATGCTGGGAAAGATAGAAGAATTTTGTGGGAAGTCCAGCGAGGCCTATCTCAACATTGGGAGTGACTTGATGCATTTTGGAAATTCTGGACGTTGAGGCGAGTTTCTCAATAGGCAGCTGCGAATTACCTATTAACGGCAATTATTGCTTGTTAACGACCTTATTAACTGCAAATTTTATTCTATTTTATCTCCTTCAAATTTTATTTTATTAGCTGCAAATTTTCATTAATGTGCAGCTTTTTATCATGCCAACTGCCATGAGTAAACTGGGTGCCAAGCCATGGAAGTCAGAATGGGTACCAGGCAACTTTAGCTCGCTGCTTGCACACCAGACATGAACATCTCAGGGCATGCTCCATGGGCACCAGCCACACACACACACCCACATCCATGGACACTGGCACTTAACAAGTGCCAACCTCTAAGAACTCTCATTGCAGATCACTGATCCACTTGCAGTATGATTCTGCACTTCATGCTACATGTCCGGACACAATGACAACTCTCATTGTAATGCTGCAGCAAGGACACTCTGCTCAGGGACATGCACCCAGCTCATGGACTGGACCAGGCTGCATCTCTGAGCTCTTCACTTGCTCTCTTAGAGCTCATTCACTTTGAAATTGCTTGGATGCTCAAAACATCCCTCGCTTGCATTTTTGCACCTTGCACCTCAGCTAGAGAAACCGTGGTATTGTCATGCTGTTCAGCACAGATGCAAAGCCAGGAACCTTGTTATGGTTGTCAGTCAAGTCAAGGGACATAACATTTGATGAGGAGGTACAGTAAGTCCATGGCAACTTCTGATACACAGTCAGACAACCACTCAGGGCAGACCGATTCAGTATCTGGCCCTCAGAAGGGTTGACGATTCAAACATTGAGCTGCTCACCATCCATTTTGACTCTCAGCCCTCTTGTGGGCTCTTTTCCTCCTGTAATGAGGGAGAGAGAGAGGGACAGGTATTAAGGGAGATGAAAGTGGGTGACAGCTGTTATGCTTAGTGCAGATGGGGAGGTGTCCCAAGCTAGTGATTAAGCAACATAAAGGTCCTGTAGGATTAGTGGTCTCTGGGATTGGGGTAAGACCATAGGGAATAGGAACAGGAGTAGACTGTTTGGCCCCTCAACCCTGCTCTGCCATTCAATAGGATTGTGGCTAATCCAACATTCCTCACGTCCACGTTCCTGCATTTCCCCGTTACCCTTGATTTCCCTACTGATTAAGAATCTATCCATCTCAGCATTAAATATACACAAACTCTGTCTCCACAGCTCTGTGCCAAGGAGTCCCAAAAACACTCAACCCTCAGAAAAAAGAAATTTCACAGTCTTAAATTGACGCCCCTTTGTTCGGAGGTTATGTCCATTGGGCCTGAACTCTCTTGTGATGGAAGGCATTCTGTCAGCATTCATCCTATCAAACCCCTTAAGAATCTTATCTATTTCAATGAGATTACTTTTCATTCTTCTGAACTCCAGTGAATAGAGACCAAGCCTGTTTAGCCTTTGCTCCTAAGACAATCCCTCCATGTCTAGGATCATCCTAGTGAACCTTCTCTGAACTGCCTCCAATGAAATGATATCTTTCCTTAAATATGGGAACCAAAACTGCTCACAATACTCCAGATAGTCAGGGGGAGGCGATGGTCTAATGGTATTATCATTGGACTGTTAATCCAGAGACCCAGATAACATTGTGGGGACCCGGGTTCAAATCCCGCCATGACAGATGGTGGCATTTGAATTCAGTAAAGTATCTAGAATTAAGAATCTAACAATGACCATGAATCCATTATCAATTGTCAGGAAAAACCTATCTGGTTCACTCATGTCCTTTAGGGAAGGAAACTGCCATCCTTACCTGGTCTACATGTGACTCCAGACCCACAGCAATGTGGTTGAGTCTGAACTGCCCTCTAGGCAGTTAGGGATGGACAATAAATGCTGCCTAGCCAGTGGGACCCTCATCCCATTAATGAATAAAGAAAGAAAGTATACACTCTCACCAGCACCTTGTACAGTTGTAGTAAGACTTCTGAGGAAGGGTCACCAGATCTGAAACATTAACTGTGATTTTTTTCTTCATAGATGCTGCCAGACCTGCTGAGCTTTTCCAGCAGCTTCTGTTTTTGTTGCAGTAAGACTTCCCTTTTCTTGTACTCTAACCCCCTTGAAATAAGGGCCTACATTCTATGAGCCATCCTGATTGCCTACTACATCTGCGTGCTAGCTTTCTGCGTTTAATGTACAAGTTCCCCTGAGACCCTTTGTGCTGCAGCTTTGTGCAGCTTTTCTCCACTTAAATAATATTTTTATTCTCCCTTCCAAAATGAACAACTTCACATTTCCCCACATTATAAGCCATTTGCTAAATTTTCACCCACTTACTGAACCTATTCAAAGATTCAAAGTATCTCCTCATTTTAGGGACTGGTTTTGAACTGGCTGGTTAGAGCCCATGTACTCTGAACACGTAAATAAAGGGTGACTTGGTAACGGTATATCGGTCTCTGTGCAGTTATTTCAAGTACATTCACTTCCTTCCTCTAAGTCATTAATATATATTGTAAACAATTGCAGTCCCAGTACTCACCCCTGTGGAGCCCCACTGGTTTTACAGATCACACTTCCTTTTCAAGGAAGGAAAGGAATTCCAAGAATTCCTTTTCGTCATTTGGAATAAGTAGGAAAGATGTTGCAGATGACAGTTAGAGTGGTAGAGCATGAGCCTTGGTGGGAGGTGGATTGAACTGCAGATACAGAGTGAGTGTAAAGTATTGGAGGGAATATGGTGACACTTTGGCTGATGGAGTGGAGAAGATCATTGACCTCCTTCCTACATCACTATGCATTCTTCCAGACAGCTGAGGTGACACGGACCTGGGTGGCCTCAGGCCAGCCTGGCATGGTCTGGTGTCATGGCCTCCACTGCATGCCCTTGGGGAAGGGGACATCCTGCCTCTGCACAATCCCATCCAACAGGATCTCCATGTCCCTGACTGCCAAGTGGGGCACTGTCTGCCACGTCCAGGCCAAACGTTAGTAACCATGCAGGGTAGTTTGGGACAGATGGTGCTCGTCCAATTGCACACCAACTTTTTGAAGATTGCATGGGGTGCCAGAGATGCCAGTCCATGTGGGGACATCCCAGCAGTGGTGAGTTGTTCTGGGGACAGCAAGTGGTAAGGTAGAGGTAGAGTTGGATGAGAGATAGGAGTATAGTAGACAGTTAATGATGTGAGTTTGGTAAGATGTGGTGAGAAAATCTGTTTGGTCTTGTGGAGAAAAACTCTTCATGAAACTTGAGAACACTGACACCTAGCCACAAAACGTAGATAATTTCTAATCAACCTGTTCAGAGATGCACCTCTGGACCGGGTGGGTCTTGAACCAAAGCCTCCTGGCTCTGAGGTAACAACAGTACCACTGCACCACAAGACTCCCTAGCCACAAAAGCATAAGGTTCAGCCCATAATGTATGACAGCTTGAATACTAGTTCAGTTAGCAGTGCCTTTGGGAACCATGTTTCTCTGAAGCAAGATCTCTTGCTTGTCACCGTTAAAAATATTGAGGCCAGTTTTTGTTTGTGGCAACTCAGTTTGTGCTAAAAAAACTGGGCAGTAGCCAGAACAAAATGACATGAACAGTGAAAGCACTGACATGCCCAGATTGCTATTGGTTCCGATTTTCACATTGATCTCCAACCTGGTGGCCAGAGCTTCCATCTGAAACAGACAGAAGGCAAGGTCATATGTACAAACTGGAGTTAAATGATCCAATGCCATTTTCCTCTTGACCTGCCTAACTACTGCCAATGAATGGTGGTGC